TCCACCTGCGCCAAAAGTGTTGTCGGAGCTGTTCCACTCGCTGCTACCGTACTAGCCTATTTTCTTTAACATCGTTAAGGTTAACGGAGGTCCCTCCGCCTGAGGGAAGCTGCTCAGAGTAGTACCAATTAAGAAATGGCCTGGACTAAGATACGCGAGATCATTTGGGTCCGCGCTCAACGGTGTGATCGGGCGCGAGTTAAGTGTAACCTCTATTTCGGAAAGTTCAGTTTGCATTTCCTCAAATGTTAAATGGGCGGCGCCAACGATACGCTCCAGATAATATTTCGCGGATTTAACCGCCGCCTCCCACAAACCATCGAAGTGTGAGGCGTTTGGAGGTATAAAACTCCAGACAATCCCCTCGCGACTTAGAAATTGTTCGACGTCTGATCTCGTTTGTTGATTGTAATAAACTTTGTAGAATTCTTTGAGTTGTTTCTGAGCGCCGACAAAATTGGTCCCGTTATATGAATACATGTGTACGGGTCGGCCTCTGCGCGAAATAAAGCGCTTAAACGCCGCAAGAAACGCGTCCGACGTCAGATCGCTTACGAGTTCTATATGAACTCCCTTCGTGGCAAAATAAACAAAAATTGATATGTAGGCCTTGTGGTTGCGCGCGTTGCGCCGTTTCCCTTCCCGTAAAATGACCGGTCCCGCGTAATCCACTCCACAGTGCGAGAATGGTGTGACGCGACTGGAGGTAAGTGCGCCCATTATCGCTTCGGACAACCGAGGCTTAGCCCTAAAGCATATTATGCATTTTTGTATAATTTGACGCGTGGTAGACTGTAACAAAAGCGGCCAAAACCGTTCCCTGATGGAAGCCATAGTGGCCTGTGTTCCAGCATGTTTGTTTCGTAAGTGTTCATGCTCTATCACAAGATAAGTTAGTCTGTGATCACGTGGTAATAGTATCGGATGTCGAGTATTGAACGATAGGTCCGATTGTCTCAATCTGCCTCCTATCCGTATCAAGCCGGTTTCATCGAGAAAGGGAGATAGTGAGATTAACCTGCTAGATGAATTGACCGTATGATCCTCATTTAGAGCCTTGATTTCAGCAGCAAACGCCTGCTTCTGCACGACTCTACACAGAATACTTAAAGCGTAAGTTACTTCCGAGGCGCTAACAGATAACGTAGATTCTTTTGAACGATTCCTTTTAACGAATCTCAAGCAGTATGCTAAAATGCGACACGCCTTGTTAAGATTTGAACATCGGTTTAATAGTTCGCCTACCGTGCATTGATCTATAGTAGCGGCGGTAGATATGATCTTTCGCTCTTCGGGGAGCTCCTTCAATCGAGTGAAATCGTTGATAGGCCAGCGATCCTCGTCGGCTAGCAAGAACGCGGGACCATGCCACCACATGACGGCAGCGGCCAGCTGTGAGGGTCCTAATCCGCGCGACAGAATATCCGCAGAATTTTCGGCTGAGCCGACATGACGCCAACTTTCGATTCTGGTCAACCGTTGTATCTCGCCGACTCTATTAGCCACAACTGCCCATCGACGGGATGTCGAGCTTATCCAATTTAGCGTAATAGTAGAATCGAACCAGAGAAATATTTAATACTGCATTACGTTTAGGGATTGGCTAACCTTAACGATCAGACGTGCCAACAACAAAGCCGCGGATAATTCGAGACGTGGTAGGGACACTGCCTTGAGCGGAGCGACCCGAGATCTAGAGCACAGCAATTTGACATGATATTTATTAGGACCGATTTTCGCACGAACATACACGCAAGCTCCGTATGCGCGCTGGCTGGCACCGCAGAAACCGTGTATCTGTACACAATTTGTGTTCGAAATGAATTCGACCCAGCGGGGAATCTGTAATTGATTTAAACACTCCAGTTGTGATCTAAATTCCAACCAGCAAGCGTGGATGTCTTGCGATATCGACTCGTCCCAGTCAACACCAGATTGCCATAGCTCTTGAAGAAGAAGTTTTGCGACAACGGTGATTGGCCCGAGAAAACCTAATGGGTCGTACAATCTAGCAGCCTCAGATAATATGGTGCGCTTAGTAATGCTTTCCGACGGATTGAGTTTACAAGAGAAATGGAATGTGTCCGTGGTTTGATTCCACTGGATACCCAAAATTGATGAATCGATTTCATT